AGCAGTGTTAAATGTCCAATTTCTTCCATTCTGAGATTCTGAACATAGTGAATGATTGAATCTGACAAACTGCAATGATATGAGTTTATTTCCATTTTTGAAACTTTATTACACAATACACGATAACAAGTTTACCATCATTTTTACAAAATCAACTAACAATGTTGTAAAGATGCAGGAAATGTCAAACAAACACTTTTACGTATCTTATTAGTTTAATAATGAGACTGTTAACATGCCTAAGAATTGAATCTGAGGAAATGTGAAAAATATGCTGAAAAGTGAAAAAACAGCATAACTTCTACAATAATGGCCTGATCATGCTGATTTTCGAACTTGACCTGCGTTTTATGAATATTCATCAGCTCTGTAAATATGAAGCCAAAAAGTAAAACTGCCCTCCACTTATCGTGTTTACAAGGAAAGTGCACGGCGCCGGCATCGCCATCGGCGACGACAGACGCAGGTGATGGCAATATGTACAGACACATCTGTGTCTGTACATAAAAAAGAGTCAAATTGAATTCGAATTTACTTTCCCCTCTGAAACACATTTTCTACTTTGGAAAACTTTATAATCCTTTCAAATCCCAAGCTGAAGAGCTAGTTAAAAAGATGAGCAAAAAAGTACCAAAACCGTTTTATTGAGGAAAATATATGTTTAAGTAAGGAAAAATACTGTGGGTTCAACTGCAGATTAAAAAACCCAAACACAAATTAAGGATTACCTGAAATTGGTGAACAGGTAAAGCATCAAAAAATTCATGTGCTATGAAAAAAGAAAATCCTTTTGGCACTGTTCTCATGTCATAGTACCAAGTCACTGGTGTACCATATTTTGTAGTCTTTGTTTCAGAATGCAATCTCCCTTGCTTTGAGGTAGCATCATAGTTCACTATTTGGGGTGTTTGAACCATCTCCAAAGGAACGCCCAACAATTTGCTCTCCTGTAGTTTCCTCATGTGAGGGCTAATTTCCACTAAGTGTAAAGAGAAATTGGCACTCACTCCCTTTTTCTTGAGTTGAGAAAATGTCTGTAATAATAATAATAACAACAATAATAAAAGTAACATATATGAATAGACCAGTTAGCATACATGTACAAGTATTCTTAGGACAGTCAAAATGACTACATCAGCTGAAATTGGGTGAAAATTTTAACATGCTTAAACATTAAAGCAATAGTAATTTGACAAAAACATCATAATAGAATTACTTTCAAGGTATAAATCAGATATTAGATAACCTGATAGTTACATAATTAATTTTGAGACAATTATCAAGCATTATCAACTTTTTAATGTCTAATCAAACAATTAGTCATATTTTGGGGGTTGGGGAAGGGGGATATTAATAAGAAAAATTAAAGCTTTGATTTGTAACTCACCCTAAGCATATCATCAGCCAGAGTTCCTCTCCCAGGCCCCAGCTCTATTAGTTTAACTTCCGGTGGGGAGCCAAAAGCCATCCACTCATGTATACACCATATGGCTAGTAGCTAAAAGGTGCAATAATTGCATTTCAACACTAAGTGTAAAGAGCATTCTACAGTACAGAACTTCTGAGATATCTTTTTCATAGGCATTGGTAATGAACCTCACACATTACATATTCCTTTTTGCTATTTCAAATGCATCTTGACCATTGTATGTAAACAAAGTTTTGAAAAAATGTGTACATATATACGTAAGTAGCTTGTAAGTAGTAATTCAAGTTTGTTAAACCCTACACAAAAACAAATGACTGGGATGCATAACAAAGCAAGAGGCTTATACATTGAGTTCAAATATATTTCACCACAGTGAAAATGTTTTAAAATGTCCTATAATTCTATCATCCTTACCTCACCAAACATCTGACTGATTTCTGGTGATGTTATGAAATCTCCTTTGGCACCAAAGACATCTTTTTGCATATAATAGCCCTAAAAATATTTTTGCTGAATAATAAATCTACAAATTCAAAAGCAGTTTTGCAGGGGAGTCATGGTAGCTATGGTGTAAGGTTAATGTGACAAAATTAATTTTGAAAGAATTTAGTTAGTTTCATTTTATTTTTAAATTCTGTATAAATCACATGGTCATTTGAAGATGAAGACATTATCTTTACAAGTAAACACTAGAAAGACCTAAAAAATTAATCAATGAAGAGCCTTACTGACAGAGGGTTTGTTAACACCATTCTCATATACTCAGAAACAGTGATAGGTCCTGAAAATTTTATCTTTGTCTTCAAATGCTGCAGTAAATCCATCTCTTTTGATTGCACACTATAACATCTGCGAAGTCGTATTGTGCAGGGGATGGCTAAAATGAATTCGTTTTTTAAAGATTTTAAAATTACATGCATAAAGATACAGCATCATAAATCACCAACAAAACTTAAAAACTTAATGCACGTGAGAGGTGAAGGACTGTGTACTTCTAAATTTGAGAGCTTGTCGTATTGTAAGTGTGATGTTTCCTTTAATAAGTAACCAACCACAATAAAGAACAGTACACTTAAAGTGTGGATAAGTTCCTGGGCATATCATGCTTTATTACATAGTGTCAATAGTGTCAAAAGTTACTGACCATGTCATAAATACATGATTCAGACACCATTATTTCATTGCATATTGTTATTATTATCATCAATTAAAGTGCAGTGACACTGACAAGTTGTATCTTATCCCGAAAAAATTCCCATAAAATGCACCCTCCGACTCATCTAACTTTAGCTTACACTCACCTCTAAACGACCTGATGCAAAATCTAAATAAATTATTAGCATTCATGTCGATAGCGTTTGTATGGCGCCCATATACTGATTAATTTAACAGACGTGCTTGAATACACGTGTTCGTGTTTACAAATGACAAATGGCGACGGAATTCCCCTCAGCCTCGTTTTCAATACCGGTTTTGCGAGCGCCACGTACGCCTGAGCCAAAAATAATATTGCTTAGCACATATGTTGGAAGGAATCTTATAAAGGTAGAATATACTTGTAGCACTTGCACTCAGTAAACAAGCAGCCTGCCAATCTGTGCTTTTATCTTGAATTTTAACGATTTCATTTCTTTGCAACATTTAAGGATTTATTTTTTTGGCGAAGATATTTCCCGGAAGGTTGTCGCTCGATTATAAACAACAAGACAGCTGGGAGAGAATTTCTAGAACAGCATAATAGTTTAAATTTAGATAATAATATTACAGAAAAAATGTGGCCTCCAAAGCTTGGGATTCTGACGGCATACGTTGTCCTAGGAGTGACAGTCACTTTGTCAGCAGACGAAAAAGATTGCTTTTGTAAGGTGAGTACTATACGCTGACATTGACAACGAATGAATGACATTGAGATGTACATGTCCAAGATGAAAACATTGATTTTTGCACGACTCTCCAAACACTTAGAACACACATTTAGAAATAATTCAACATTTTAACAGACTGAGCTTAAGGTTTATGAGTTTAAAGAGTGTTTTCCATCCATGACATTTTATTTTAACTTTTAAAATGAATTTTCTAAAGAGTCTTAGACTATATGTTAAATTTTAAAATATAGGTTGGGATGATATTAAGTGATAACAATTTATGAATCATTGTCAGTCAATGTGTCAGATGGCTGAGGACATCTGATAGCAGTTTATGTAGCCTAATGGGATCTGAAATGGCCCAAAATATTGATACTTTGTGTTGGGGGTGGTCGGCTCATGCCCTACATGTAGTTAGATTCCACTTTACCAAAATAACACGATTCAGAGCTGGGCCTCTGAGGATGTGTTTTGATAGTGCCCCTTGCAGAGTTGAAAGCGGCTTTTAGAGTGTGTTAGGCTTCTCGCCTTTATTATGAGGAAAGATCGTCTCTGATAGGAAGGTAGGTGTCTCGCCTACCTAGTATGAGATTTATATAGATACCGATATACATAGGGTGCCCTGAAAAGATTGATTGGTACAATAGAGGTGTCTTGCCTGTTGGGGGGAAAAGGGGAGGGTGGACTGGTTGCAGAAAGTGCTTTTTGGTCAACAAATGACCTTCATCAGCTGCAGAGTCCGAAATAAAAAAAGAAAAAATTTGGGACGGAGGGGATCGGTAAGCAAAGGTGTCTCTCCTTTGTTTAGTGAGGTTTCATCAATGGTGTCTCGCCATTGTGAATGATATGAGCCATCTCGGCTTTATAGTCTCATGCTTGATCATAAGTGTTTCGCTTGTGTCAAGTAGGATGGTATCCAGAATCACTGTCTAAGATGCTGTAGCCTGTTAAATTCTCCTCCAAAACAAAAGGGATACGAGCTGGACGGTATGAATTGAGCGTGCGAGTGGCTCAAGAGTCGGAGGTCGACTCAAGGGAAGATTTTGCAGGATGTGGAGAGAGTGGGGTTAGAAATAATAGCAGAGTAGTGATTGCAGTGCAGCAACACATAAAAGCTGACAGAATTTTTCCAGGGATATTTTTCTGGTTGTTTTCTGTTAAAAGTATCTTGTGCAAGATTTTCCCACCAAATCAGAACTCCCTTGTAAAAAAAAAACTATGTATATATTTCTTTTACTCAAAAACCATTGCTCAACCCCTCCCTGCACGTTGCACGTGATTTAGATGTTTTATAGCATTTTTGATGAAATAATTTAATTCTAAATAACTTACCAGTATATTAGACCACCTTGTCTTCCTGTACAGAAATAAATATTGACTGCAGATGCTTTTTATTGTTTTCAGTGTCTGAAATTAGAAATGGGAAGTAGATTTGATAATACATGTACTAGTAAACATATTAAAGGTTGTCAAGCCAATCTCAGAGGCTCTCCCAGTTATCCAGCTTATCCAGATTTTGTGGTTTTGAAAAAGTCATGTGACAAAGTTGATACAAGTCCCTAACATTTTTGATTTGCATGGTAAATTCCAAACAACTGCTACTAAAGCTCAGAAATAACAAGTGGACATGTATTGAAACAAGCGCAGTGTCCATGTCGGCTATGAAACTCGGGTTGAAAGGATTATTCTGCCCACTCTATGCTGCTGTAGAATTTATGTTTTTATGTTTTTATTAATAAACATGTTCCTTTGTTGCTTTTGTTTGTTTGTTTAGCATGAACATTTATGTGATTAATCTTTTTATATAAAATACATGATGCACTCATTAGATTCCTGTAAGTAAATGCTTTGTTTTAATTGCATTATGGAGATGGGCACAACTATATTTAATTTTTGTTTCAAACCTGATAACAGAAGGTGAAACAATTGTTATTAGGGGTGACAGGTGACCAGACTGATTTATTGATCGTAACATTTTTAGCCTAACAATAGTTGAAAGATTGTGGGAAATGACCCAAATAGATAATATTCAAGATTCTGCTTTATCTGCTTTATCAGGGCACTTTATATATATTTTTTATACTTTGCACTTGCAGTCTGGATATGGATTTTTCAGAATATTTATTCTATTATTAATTTTTCCGGGAATTTCAGTTATGAGAATTTCTTTTTATGAACGCTTTGCATTTTCAGTTTGGTTTATTATATTCATTCTATTATTAACAGATAATTTACCTAATTTTATGGATGAAAAAAATAAAGAAAAAATGTAATTATATATATCACGGAGGCATTATTTTGTGTTTTCAGTTAAGTGAAATAAAATTAATCTATTAATTTGATCTGTACAGGTAAATTAATCTTTAATGACTTTACTTTTTTACATTCAATTCTCCATTTAATTTCAATACATTCATTGAAAACTGAACAAATTACAAACATTATATTTTCAGTTAAAAGGAGAAGTAGATGACTGCTCATGTAAAATAGAAAGCTTGGATTCTTTTAATAATCTGAAGATTTTCCCCAGACTCCACAGCCTTCTAAATAAAGATTATTTTAGATTCTTCAAGGTGAGTCAAAGACTTTCAGAAAGAAAAAGGGAATACATCCTATTTTACTTCTGTTACCATTTTAAATTTCAACTAGACTGCCAATCAATTTGGTTCAGAATGATTCTTCAAAATGTTTGATTCTTCAAAATACCCTGCGGTCACTTTAATAGGTAGCAGCAACAGGTAAGAAGTATTGTGTGGCCTAGCAGTGATTTATTACTGTCTGTCATGGAACAAATGGCACAATTAGTCACACCATAAAGTACTTCCATATTATTCAAAAGATAGTTTAGATAAGTTCAGCAGGCATGGTATTGTATGACTACTTTCAGAGAGATATTCAGAATTTTTATTACTAATCTAATGAAGATAAAATCTGAAAAACAAAGGCCATTGTNTGTGACCTTGAAATTGACCTTTGACCTACTTTTTATCATGAACTGAACTCTGCTAATTTCTTTCTCTTTTAACTTCAAACTTGACAGAGATAGGTCCATAGTTACTCTTGAACTTGAATAGGAAGTCATATACTGGCAATTTACTGTGACCTTGAAATTGACCCTTGACCTACCTTACGAAGAACTTAAATTTGATTGTACCATATATATTTTTTGCAATAGTTTAAAAATTCTTGTTGATTGCATTTTTACAGCTTGTCAAGCACAAAACTGGTGGCTGTGTCCCTTATTTTGTGTATGTGGGGGTCTATACGAATGCGCTCGCTCCAGCTGGTGGTACAATATTCGGAGGCGGTATCGCCTCTCTGATCCTCTAGTTGTTACTGAATCTTAAAATGTTAGACTTGTTTAATTTTTTGGCTTGCCTTATTTTATGAAACTCACTCGGATTCATGAATAAGTTTTCCAACATACCTTTTATCATCATTATTATTATTATTTTTATCATACGTGGATGCTATTGTTATTATTGCTATTGTTGTTGTTGTTATTGTTATTATTATTATTATTATTATACCCAATTTATCAAGAGGTGTGTAATTTTCATTTTAGGTAAATTTAAAAAGACCATGTCCATTCTGGGGTGATGATGGTAGGTGTGCCTTGAGAGACTGCCATGTAGACAAGTGTTCTGAGGTGAGAACTTTACTATGTTACATTACCAGAGTTTTAGAGCTAGTGAAGGCCAGCTTCTTCGAATTCAAAATTCCATGTATGTCAGTGGTCATTTTTGAACGTAAACGGTGCACGATTGAAGTTTTTTGCGCCAATTACATCTTTGACTTTGTTAAAGCTGTCTCATCAAGGCTGGGTAGTGCTGTCTGGCAATGTTGAAACAGGGGCCCAGTCTATTTACTATGGCACCTGCTGTTGTACTTTCTAGAAACCATGAAATTTTTATGAATATGCTTTAGTGAAAATAAAGAAGGTGGCACACATCAAAGCTGGTAGGAGGTCTGTGTATATTGTTGCATTGGTAAACACAAAAGGTGACTAAATTGTCATAGCCATTGACTAGAAAATGTGCCACACAGCCAACATTGTAGTGAATTTTAATTGGTCAGTACAGACCAATACTTTTAATTCTACAGGAATGAGTTTTTTTTTTTTTTAATAAAATTCAATCAGTCTAATGTACAATATTACCATAGAGCAAAAGAGTACTTCTAGTCAGTAATTACTGGTATACAAACAATACTAAATGGTCAAAATGTTTCAATAACCAACAGATCACATAATTTTTATATTGGGATATTTGTTTGGCATTTATGTTTTTGTTCAGTCTCAATACCTACATAAATTAGAATACAATAGCTGCTGTCAAATTGGAAAGAAATGTTGTGGTTGTATACAAGAGTAATATACATGCAATGTTGCTTCAAAGAATTCTCATTTTTAATTTAATTTAATTTAATTTAATTTAATTTAATTTAATTTAACTTTTAGTAGCAGATAGTATAATCTTGTGTCTTAATTAAACCATCTATTTTTTTACAGGACCAGTTACCACCTGGCTATAAGGAATCAAAGCAAGAAGAAAACAAGGTAACTATACAAGCATCCAGTGAGCATTTAAT